TTGAGGAAGGTATCCCCAAGACTATTATTGATTTCTAGTATTACCTAAAAGCCAAGGTCGCTCAATTGAATGGTCGTTTCGGAGAACCTCCATCGAAGTTGACTCAGATTGATACCATTATTTTTTACCAAAACATCGAGCGGTAGGTTCAGCATCGGTCTACGCAAGGTTTCGTTGAGTCGCACACTGGAGTCATTTATCTGATGATCAATGATGCAGATCAACGGTTAAAGTTCAAAAGGTTCCATAGCCAGATCCTGGCCGTCTTTGAGCCTCCTTGCTGGAACGAGTTTTACTTCAGCATTAGGTTTTTTGATTGATTTAAGTTATGAGATCTCTTATCACTGCTTCTGTATTGGCGGCTTCCGCACTCGCCGGCGAACGTGTTCCTGTTTACGTCTACGTTGATGACTGGAACTACACTGGCTCCGCACTTACTGACGAGCTGTACAAGTTGTCTGAGCTTGGGGTGAGCGCGATTCTGCTTGCTTTCCACCTCGTCGGGAACCCCGGATTCCCCGAGAACATTGCTGACACCGTGTCTGCCTGGGCTGCGTTATCGGAGTCTGAGCGTCAGGCCTTCGTTGACAAGCTCCATGCCAACGGGACCAAGCTGATGATCTCGTCAGGGGGTGAATCTGAGGGTCTGAATTGGAAGGCCGTGGATGCAACGACGTACGGTACTGATCTCTGCAATTTGATGAAGAGCTTGAATGTTGACGGCGTTGATTTCGATAAGGAAGGTTTCGGTACGACGGATACCAGTATTTTGGATTGGGTGAGCAAAGCAACTATCGCTTGCCGCTCGGTATGGCCTGAGGGTATAATTACTTCTGCTCCTCAGTCACCCCACATGAATCCTCTACCGGATAGCTGGGCGGATCTTGCGAACCTCGGTGCCGATCACGATCACTACCTCATTCAGTATTACAACCAGGGCACGTGGCCCAAAGATACGACGTACGAAGGTCTATTCCAGGGAAGCGGAGTTGGTGCTATCAACGAATTGTATGCAAGGTTCCCCAACGCTCCAAAGGACAAGTATGTGGTGGGCAAGCCTCTCCGTACGGAGGACGCAAGTTCTGACAGTTACGTCCCCATTTCTCAGCTGCGTGAGTTCATTTGCAAGGCTTGGAATGAGGTTGGATACAGAGGTGGTGTCATGTTCTGGAAGGCGCACCTTGGAGAAGATAACAGCGACCTCAGTGTGATGGCTGCTCCTTGCGATGGGTCTTCTGCTGACATCCCGGACCCCAGTCCTGTGACTACCCCCAGTCCCGTGACGACTCCTAGTCCCGTGACCGCCCCTGTCACCACTCCTAGTCCTGTGACCGCCCCTGTCACCACTCCTGGTCCTATGACTACGGTGGTTCCTATGCCCGTGACGACAGCTCCCGTTCAACCAACTCAGGGTGGGAACTCCAGTGGAGGAGATTTGGTTTTAGGTTGCCAGAACCTGTTAACCTCGGAGTCGCAGTGGGTTGACACCTGCAAGAGTTACTGTGCCTCCTACGCCCCCAGCGGAGACCTTGCACCGTGGTGCCCAGGTGTTGCAACAGCTGAAGCGCTTGCACAATGCATTACTGGTCAGCAAGCCTTCTGTACAATTGCGTGAAGCCGGAGTCGTATTGAGGAAGGTATCCCAAAACTATTATTGATTTCTACGTATTACCTAAAAGCCAAGGTCGCTCAATTGAATGGTCGTTTCGGAGAACCTCCATCGAAGTTGACT